CACACACACACACACACACACACACACACACACACACACACACACACACACACACACACACACAGTTATTTGCATTCAGTATTTATGGTTATTAAGCCTGGAGTAAATTTTAAAAGCCCCGACATCAAAAGTAGTATTTGTTCTCCAAATCTTCAAAACTGCTTATGTCTGCGAAATAGAATTTCTACTACAACCAATAGTAACAGTTTCATTGATGTCGATAACCAATGAGAAACCAGGCCAACCAGTGCGAGTTTTGATTGGATGAGAGTGTGGCTTGGTTGAAGAAAATCTGAAAATTTAGCAGATGTCTGCATGAAAAGAAAGAGGCAGAGTCACGGCCGAGACTGTAACTTTGTTAATCCATCTGTGGAAACCACCGCAGGAAAATAAATTCCACAGTTTAAGAGACATCTCCTAAAAGAAAAATATCCTCCAAATCCCAAAAAAGCGAAGTAAAAAAAAAAAAAAAAAAACTTCTCAGTAATTAGTCACACCACCAGAATACGACAGGCCACAGTGCCAGTGTTTGTTTTCTCATAGTTGACACATTATCATAATTTGACTCAGGTAAAGGTTTTAATGCCCTCAATCTTATTTAATCATTTCCACTCACAATATAACTTATTTTCTGCCCATGTATTTCTGTGATCCGAGAATAAACGGGCATGAAAAGAAAGAAAAATAAATGTAGAGAAATAGGGAGGAGGGAGCAAGAAAAGCTTTAGACAGAGAGAAGCACAAAGCGAATGATTCACACAGCACAGAGCAAGAGAAAAAGAGAGATGGAAACAGAGAGAGAGGGAAATAAAGTGAAACCGAGTGAGAGAGAAATAGAGAAAAAGAATAGAGAGCAGGGGATTCAGCGAGGGGGTTCGGCAGGTTTTTCTGCTCGTTGGCTGAGGTCTGTAACCAGGCAGAGTTTGTCTCGTCTCCTCTGAGTTGGCAGCTACACCTGGATAATTATTCATGCTGTTCACGAAAACAGCGAAACCTGCAAAACCCAGCTGCTCTGAGGCCGGCATGTCGTCCCAGCCCCGCGAACACACATGCATGGCTCAGGAATATAACACACACACTGATCATATAAATATTTCAACGACTACGTGCACACGTGTTCACATGCACGAAAAAACAGCGGTGGAGAGTGTTGAGGGACGTTAACTCAAAAACTGTACTTCACTACAATTGTGAGGAACTTGTACTTTCATTGAGTAGGTCCATTTTATGTTACTGCTGTTCTACCATACTTCTTACTCCACTACATGTTTTAACATCAATAATTACTAGTTACTTTTCAGATTGAGATTATACATACACAACATATGATCATATATAGCAAATGTTAAGCAGTGAAAAATACCTGTACCTTGATCAACTTGCTAATGCATTAAAAATAATGATCCAATAATTTAATATACTGTACAGAAGTAGTGGTTTAAATCCGCTATTTTACATAGTGAAATTAATAATCACAAAATATTTATATGATTTTTTTTTAATCAACAGTAAGTTAATAAGTATATCCTAGATCACATATTAGGTTAAGTTTAATGTCTGCTGAAGTTATTCCTTAATTTAAGTGAAGAAATATTTTTGTCTGAAAAGAGTTACATAGCAGAAAAAAGATAGAATCACAAAATTGGATTTGAATGTTTATCGACCAACTCCAAATCAGTTCAGTTATATAACAAATGATAATCTAATCTGCAAAGATAAGACAAAAGCAATAACCTCACTTCTGACAAGAGATGAACGAGCAAATACTTCTTGTCTGAGGATTTGGTGCAGCAACACTTTTCTGTATAAAACAGGTTGTTTAATTCGGTCCACATGACCAGAGGAGATCTCTGAGCTCCAAGCAGTTTGGCTTTCACCTGCTTCAATTAGAAGCCTCTCTCAAACAGGAAAAATGAGAGTGAGTCAGAGGTCAAACACAATGCTGCTTCAAATGAAAGAAAAATAACTGGCTTTTTCAAAGGTACGTTATCCTTCAGCCAAGCATAGGCTGGAGCTCTACGTTTGGAGAGGTTGATTTGACACTTTATTACATTAGTGTATGTCACAGTCTGGTGCACAGTGTCTGTGTGTGTGTGTGTGTGTGTGTGTATGTGTGTACCTGTGTATGCTATGCCAGACTGCAGAGCTATAACTACCTGTGCTATTACTACATTTATTTACACAACGTCAAGCATCACGATGCCAAGCAGGAAGTTGAGGCCTGGTGGACCCCATGCAGTGGGTATGATGTCATGGTTTGAACGCTGGCACAAAGCAGCATGAGTTCATGGCTGTTGCTGTCCATCAACCTCAGTGTCCCAGCTGACAAGCAGCTAGATGACATTTAAAAAGCACGGACAGAGCGAGCATTGTTTTAGTCATAAATAGCGAACATGTTGGATTTGGAAAGTATGAGCTGCTATTTCATTGCTGCAGTTAACTTCAAGATTTAGTGTGTGAGTTTAGTCAATGAAATATAGGTCCTACTATGGGAAATGTATATAGATCCACAAAAAAGAACCGCATGCATGAGAGCACTGTCCATGAAAAGGCGGGGTAGCTTTTCAGTAAAACCGAACAGCCGTAGCAGTGGAAACTCTCAACTGTCAGACAAGTTTAAATCCTCTAAACAATGCAGGCAGAAGTTTAGGCAGTCACTTTGAAGTAATATTCAAAGTCCCGAGCAAGAAGTCAAAGTCACAGGGTGTTGTTGAGGTGGCATTGTGGCCCTGACACATTTTGCTCAGCTGTCCCCATGTGTTGGAGACGGTGTGAGACAGGATGAGTCGGGGGTGAAAAGGTGAGACGAATGGCAGCGGTGTCACTAGGTGAATACAAGTGCGCACTCATGCATACACTCTCTGTCTTTTTTTTTTTTTTTCCCATATTGGAGCATCCCAGACAGTTCAGTCAGACAGGAGAAAGCTGTGTCGAGACAATCCCTCTGCGGTAAGCCTAAATCACATGCAACTCCTCCCTCCCTCCCGCCCCCTCCCTCCCCCTCCAGATGCATACTCAGAAAAACACACAAATATAAA